GAGTAATACATGCAAAGAAAAAAAAACCAAAAAAAAAAAAAAAATAATAAAAAAAAATAATGATTATATACTATTTACAGAGTTTTGGATCACCCTAAGTAATACAAAAATAATAATAAAAAAAAATCAAGAAAAAAAAAATCAAGCGAAAAAAAAAATTGGATTTTTGGATCACCCTAATTAAACACCAATCTAATATTGGACCAGGGAAACAAGGAAGATGCTATACTGGCGAGAACAATACAAACGACACGATTTATACCTAACGCACTGAGGCGGCAGCAGACTGGAGAGATATAATTGTTTGATCCAACGGCTGCAGAGTCAATAACCTCGATGCTGGTGTGCCTCGGTCGACTCGGTAGGCAATATGACGCTCTTTCGTTGTTGCTATCGATGGGGTGATGTACCGATAGTGGTGATGATTTTGCTGATGATGTTGCGATGATGCTGGGTTAAAGCTGGACCGTAATGAAAGCACTCGGCATATCATTAACGGCTTCCTCACTCGCGCACTAGTCGTCTAAACACTATGCCAATTAACTTTGGCGAGAAAAAACCCTCGCGTCGGGAAAAACTCAAAACTAAATGATAGTGTCGTACAACGAGACCGATGCGACTTGATCGGCTCAGCGTGCGAGACGGAATGAAGGACCATAGTTAGGAATACTATTTTACAGAAAACACTTATTATCAATATAACCACACTTATTACTGTTAAATCTACTATGAATTGAGTTTAGTTTACCATGAATGTTAACAAATTTACTATGAATCTGGCAAAACGACTATGCTTGCTCAATATGCATAATAATTTTGATAGAAATAATAGTAAAATCAAACGAAATTGCTTGCTGCAAAAATCTATTGGTGAGGGTATTTAATTTAAACCAGCAATATAGTATTTTTGCCAATGGATTTTGTTTCAGTGTAGTCATAACAAGATGCACACTCGAAAATAATTTTGTTTATTTTATTTTCAAAAATAAAAGGAACCAATTAGTAAAAATCTGTATTAAGTTTCAAATATCTGTATAATGTCTGTAGTCTGCATTGGGTCTGAACGAGACTTCAAAAATCTATATAATACAGACATATCTGTATATCTGGCACCGCTGGTAATCACAAGAGTATAGACGTCAAACGCAACGTGGCCATCAAAGCAACATTGACAGTAACAGTTTCTAGTGGGACTAACATGCGTAGAATTTCCTACTTCAGTGCAAATTTCTAGGCATAACAGTCCTATTAAATATTGTTCGTATAAAAATAGGCTTCACTGATTTCATTGATGGTAATTTCTGTAGTTTTCACTAAAACATATTGATTCTGTTGAAATGTGAACAATGCGCTAACTTATTTTAACGTATATTTCTTCCAATGAGCAGAAATGATTCGAAACATTTTTCGCGATTTTCTCAGAAGTAACTTTTGAAACATGGGATCAATATGCGTAGAACGGCTGGAAAATAAAAAAAAATAGAAAAAAAAAAATCGAAATCACAAAATAGTAAGTTGCACGTTAACCGGGTGGCAACTTCATTTAAAACCGGGAATTATCAGAGAATTTCAAAAGACCTGGAAAATCCAGGAATTATTGGGGAACTTTTGTAAAGTAAGTTCATTAGAGTTTTAAATCGGCTTGTATTTTTAGTTTGTTGATTGAATCTATAAGGCAGAATGCTTTAAAAGTCCACAAATTTGCATTTTTAATTAATAATTAATAATTTGCAATTATAAACCTCAGTACCTCGATTTTTTTTTTCGAAGTCCCAGAATCATGAAAATGTGTCTAGACATATAGTTTAGATTACCGAAGTTAGTAAACTTATACTGGGTTTTTAACCCGTAAAATACCAGCACGAGAATTTGTTTTTCAAAATGCTCGTTCTCAATGTTACAACCGATTTTCATAAACCTGGACTTTTATTGAAGGGAAATAGTGGATCTAACTATTGACGTAGATAACGCCCCGCTATACTGCCTATAACCGCATATCAGTCCCATATGGATTTTCGTTAATTTCGAGATAACAACGCTATCCACTATCAATTGGCATCTACTTTCATATTATGTGATAAAACTATGGACTTAGATCATGAAAAATATGAAAACAACATCAAGTCAGTTTGTCCCATCTAGCAAAGTATTCGCATTTCAGTCCCATCCTGAAATTCAATCGTCCATAGTTCAAGTTAAAGTTCTGCTTTTCGAATTGCCATATTTTTTGTTGATATAACAGAACATGCAAGCTTCATTGTGACAGATTTTAACTTGAAAAAAATATCAATAAATTTACTATGATTTTTCAAATATTTACATGAGAATTGCACTTCGTAACTTCGGCTGCCATTTTCTCAATGCCTACTTTTTCCATATGGGACTGATATGCAATTATAGGCAGTATAGCTCTATAGACTCCTCCCTACGTTTGAAAGATGCAAATATCTAGGTAGGTGTTTTTTTTTCGATTTTTTCCACAAGTATAACCAAATGCTATGTGTTGTCTGACGAATTGTTTATCTGGTGTATTGAATAATACCAGATGGATGGAGTCGAGTTTCGAACGCCTTTGGATACGGTTGTGTTTTAAGTTTGTTCTCTGTTTTGTGCGTGCATTCGCTTTCATAGTTTTCGGCTGCATTTGCCGGATTAGCGCTGGCACTCTGCCTGCCGGACGGTTATACGTGTGTGAGTGGTAATTTTCTCGCTTTCCGAGAAGTTTTAGAATCGAGAAAGAAAACATGATTCATCATGTTTGCAAGCAACAGAAGATTTAACGCTATCTGCGTTGTTTGATTTTTTCTCCCGGTCCAGAAATGTGTGGCATCGCGAGTGATAATTTTAATTTTAGTTTATTTGCGCGGTGATGATGTTGGTTCACTCGCAACTATTTTTGAAAAAAATAAGTGTTTTCGAACGAAAGTGTGCCATAAGTGCTTCTGAACGTGGTTCGCAGTTGGGTGTGGTGAAATTCGTGCATTCCCGTTTGATTTTGGAAATCCGTATCACAAAATTGCCCACCGATTCCTTTTTTGCCGTTCGACGACGACGGGTGTGCTTTCGCAAGAGTTACGTTTATTGGATCCGTTTCTTTGCACGGGTGTGTTTTTTTCTTTGTAACTAGCGTAAGTGTGCCTGCGATTTGCATCGAGTGACGGAGATTGTGTGTAAGCTGAAGGATGTCTCGCTGGATACGCCCAAGACTGGACGGGAGGTAGCTGATGGCCGTGAACGGTTCCTGGGGAAAGCACTAGATGCGAACTTCCTTCCAGATCATCATGGCAATAAAGGAAGTATTACAACAAAGGTAATTGCTATTAGATATTTTGCAAACATTGACAGATAGCAGACATGAAGAACCAGTGGAGGTGCCGGGCAAAGGTGTTTATTCTAGACAAATGGTAAGTTACAAATTCGCTGTTGTCGTTGTCGTAGGCGCCGTCGTAGTCGCTGTCGTAATCGCCGTCGTAGTCGTAGGCAGTACCGAATTATCGCGTATTTCTGTTGTTCATTACATTCCAAGTGAAATTCGAGAACGTAATTTCGTTTGAATAGCTTGTTTAACCAGGTCTTAAACAATCGTCACGTCGGTCATAGCTTGTTATGATTGTCTGAACCATGCGTAAAGAGAAAATCGAAACATTGAACGTCACGTGAAAGTGGATCTTAATGAAGGCCTAAGTACTCTTTCGTAGCTTCTAGTTTTAGGATTTCAAAGATCGTCGGTTGCAGTGGCTTGCTTACTGAGGAGAAAAACGCGGTCCCAGATCCTTTCATATTAAAAATATTAAAATATCGCTTGTTTATCGTGTATTTAGAAAAACTTTTCGTTGTCGTCGATGCCGGGTTTGAATAGTTATAAAAACTTGAGTAACGCTATAATGTGATATAAGAGGCTCGGTGGCCTTAGAGCAACCATTTGTGCTTACTGAGCAGAACATCGTGAGTCTAATCTCAAGCCCATCCACAGTCAAGATTCGTCAATGATTAAAAAGGAGCTCGTCTGCCTAGTGGCAAACGTTTTTGCTTACTGAGCAGAAGACCATGGGTTCAATCCCAAGCTCCTTCGCGTTATACGATCGTTAGGACATCAATTCAGCTTATCGTTTACCAAAACGAACCCTGCTGCAAACCCAACCCTCTTACCCAACATCCCTGTGATTCCTCGTGAAAGTGCAGAGGACTCCTCGGCTTCCATCAAAGCGAGTGTCACGTCAACACATTCCTACCCATTCCTTTCTTGACCTGCGTTCAGGCGCGGCTGGCGCTGGTATTGCCTAATTCGAGATCACCAGTTTTTACACATTGAGAATGATTGCTAGTCCCAAGCATCGTCTATTGGTTCTATTGGTTCTCTGTACAGCTGGTCTGGCAATAACAGAGTAGCAACCGTGGGCGGTTAATCATGCTCATGTTTTGAATAATACCATATGGATGAAATATGGAAAGTAGGAATGAATTTAGATGTTTCTACGATGTCTGGCCACGTTATTATTGATTCCGGGAGTTATGGAACCCAGATCTATAAAACATTGTAGCATTTCTGGAAATCGCAGCATGTCAAATCATGCCAAATAGGTAGAATCAAGCAAATGAAGACCATTTGAGGTGTATCCGGTGACATTTGGCCAGTTTAACATCATTTCCGGGGTTCTGGTTTGAAATCGCAAATCGATAAATCGGTCTAGCGACAACCAAAAGAAAATACCATCGAAAAATACTCTCCGTCGGACGTACGTGAAGAAAAAAAAAATACTCCCATAAATGTGTATGTGGTTATTCAGATAAACTGAAGAAGGTTCCTTACTCAAAAGTGGTAAAAATGCAGATGGAACTGACTTCCGGTTATTAGCAGTAGATTCATTTCATGATAAACTGTTCAGACGAAAGAAAGAAATAAGATGCGGAGGCCTTTTCTGTGACACTAATAAACAGCGAGTCACCTCACCTCACACGCGGAGCAGAATAGACCTCACTAATGCCTTAACAAAGCTCACCTGTCATCTACTCCACCACACCAGACGATACCTCCAGGTGCTGGTTGAAATTTGCTTCCATCGTTTGAGTCTCGATTTTTCCGGAATCGGAACAGTTTGCCATTCGTAGCAAGAACCACATTAGGTTTGTTCAACCTAAATGGTTGCTTCAGCACGCTTTCCATCAATTCACCATCCCAACGGATCCATAAAGCTCGTTCTATTGCTTCCTTGCTGAACTCCGTTCCACCACAGATGACGATGCTTTCGAGATAGATTGGTTCCTCTAGTAACGTCGTCAACAGTGAACCCTGAACTCCCAGCATATTCCATCGGGCCATCTTGTCACTGCAAGACACCGACAAAGTTCTTACTCCTTTCCCAGGTTTTGTCCTAATCATGCCCATGTCCTGTGCCATCATATCCGGCCCCGGACATTGCAGCAGCTTTCCTCCAGTCATTCCTTCAGCAACGGCGAAAGCTGATCCGGCTTTACTACCGTCGCAAGTTGATTTCATCTTTTTAGCCGGCGGTCCGTCTTGCCCGGGCCGATCTGCCAGTTCGAAAATACTAGCATCACCGCAGGGACTGTGCGTCGTAAAGAAATGGAAGGCTACTTCCTTATGCATACGTAATTTTTTCGATTCATCGCTGTACTCGAAAACTCTGGAACGCTTTACAGAAGCATTCTTCATCTCACTCATCAAGTATCGGAGGAATCCTCGTCTGGCCATAATTTCTGCATGACTATCATTAAGCACATCACCCTTCACACTTAGTTGATTCGATCCCAAGCATTTCGTTCCGGTTCCAAGAGCAACGACTTCTATTTTTGGTTCACTGGAATTCAGCTCCACTTTGACTATCGCTGACAAAATTGTCCACTCAAAGCCTTCGTTGGGTTTTCCCGTTTTGGGAAGAGCGTCAAACTTAGCAAGGCAAATTTCCGAAATTCTATTAGCTAGATCCATCTCTATACTAGTTTAGTGTTAGTGAAGAATGTTTATTGTTGAAAATTAACAGTAACAGTACACCTCTTAGAGCATAACATTAATATAACAATCGATTCTAAAACAAAAAGGCACCACGTGATAATTGAAAGCGATTCGTTGCTTAACTAAACAGTATACCAGCTCACTAAACTACAGTATTCGGATCCCAAGCATACTTTGCACCGCAAGTATCCCTGAGCTGATCGAGCAGTTTCAGATCTTCCACCGGAGTTTCGAAATTAAGGGCAATGTTTTCTTCGATGCGATTTTGGGATCGTGCCTTGGGCAGAATGCCAATCTCACGCTGCAAAGCCCAGCGAAGCAGGACCTGGGCTGGTGATCGGCCGAGACGGGATGCAATGTCCACTACGACAGGGTCCTCCCGGAGGCTTGTGCTGCCGGAGGTACCGAGAGAGGAATATGCTTGCAGGAAAATGCCCTCCGATCGGCACAGCTCCAGCAGTTCCGGCTGAAAATGATGAGGATGCCACTCAACCTGGAATGGGTGAAAGAACAAACGCAAACACAAATTTTAATTATTTCAGCTACAGTATGATTTACCAACTACAGTGTTATGGGATGTACAGAGTGCGGCGGAAAAATGCGATTGGCTTAACAATGATATTTTTGGTAGTTGTTAAGCTAAATGGTTGCAGTTTTTGTCATGAGCGAGAAATCAAAAATATGTCCAAATGACAAAATGACAAGCGAGCCGAAAGATAACGCTTTGTCAGAAATGGAAAGTATTAATGATATAATCATCTTCCGTTACGAATCTGTAATTCATTTTTAACGTACCTCTTATTTTCACTTAAATGCTTATACTAATCTTTTTAAATCGGTTTATATATGAATTCTGGGCACGGAATTGGATTCATCGGAAAATTTTGGCCCGATTTCATATAAAAAAAATTATACTTACACTACCGATCATAAGTTTAAGGGCACCCCCAAAAAACCATGCAAATATGTTTTGTTCAATGATCTCTCATTTTACGTTCAATTTTCGATCTCCAAAGGTTATTTGAATGGTATGAATGGTATAGCATAAGTGTTCTACTACTACTACTTTTATTTCAAAATCGGGTCCAATCCAATTCTGAGAAAATCAATCACGATTCTTCAGAGTAAATTTTGAAAAATATTGTAACTTTGGGTGAACTTTTAGCACACAAAATTTGAAAATTATACTGAACAATTTGCCTACGAGGAAAGTTCCATTTAATACCTTTCAAATGATCTAAAGAGAACGAAAATTGGACGTGAGATATGAACATAAAAAAAATTGTCATGTCTTTTTGAGGGTGTCCTTAAATTTATGATCGGGAGTGTAAGTGCATTCTAGCCAATTTGAGGACCAAAAACAGTTTTTTTTTTATTTGCATTCCTGAAAAATATACTAATTTCGAACAAAACCGTTAATTTCATAAATAATTATAGAGACGCATGATGCTGCTTGGTAAACTCCATCATGAGAAATGCCTTGATAACTTTCTGATCGGTCATGACCAACGTACCAACAATCAATACGAAACTAACGATTTTAAATTGGCTCACCACTTTAGTAGCCTATTGGTCCCAAGCAAACGATTAACGTACCCTATTCTAGTCAAAATTCTAGTACTACGCAATGTTTGTTTTGATTCGCTATGAAAGTTTGACAGATAAAATGAGGGGTTATTGGTTTTTCCTATGTTTCGAGGGGTGAATCGATTAGCTTGGGACCGAAGAGAGTACCAGAGCTGAGCCAAAAAGTTGAGCACGTTATTTCGGGACCTTCTTGTCTTAGAGTTACCTCTATGAACGTACCTAACTGGAGTACACTTTCTGATAGAATTTACCAGTGATTAAAATAAAAATTAATATTATTTTAAAAATTCCATTTTTCGATGATACATTAGAGAAAACCTGATCAAATAATCAGATATATTTCAAAAATTATTCCCGAATATCCCTGGAACACTTTCTGATCGGTCATGACCAACGTATCTAACTGGAATTCACTTTCAGATAGAATTAATATAATAACATAATCAGATAGTGTTCCAAGGATATTGAGGAATAGTTTCTTAAAGATATCTGATCATTTGGTCAGGTTTTCTCTAATGTATCATCGAAAAAATGGAATTTTTAAAATAATATTAATTTTTATTTTAATCACTGGTAAATTCTATCAGAAAGTGAATTCCTTTCATATGACCTTTCATACGAAATACTTGTGTAATTAATGAGCAAAGTTAGCGACCACTATGATTGTGGTCCTAAAATTGAACTTAGAAAATGTTTTTCAGAAAATTTAAACAATAAATCAATCTTGTAAAAATGGCTAGAGATAGCAATTTTAGTTCTTTAATTTTGCAATGAAGAGTTTTTTTTTTCGATAGAGCGCTGCGTTATTTTGGAAAAAAAAATCGATGAAGTGAGTCATTCAAATCCGATTCACCTTAAGGGGGTATTCCCGATCTTTTTTTTCAAAAAATCAAATTTTTTTTTCACGTTTTTTTGTACTTTAGACTATATACTTTCATCCCCCCAAGCCGTTTTCCGATCAGCGAATTCGGTGTCCAGGCATAGCTGACTAATGGTAAGAACCCCCAAATGGTTTTAACTAAAGTCAAAACTTTAAACGCGTTTTTCTCGAAACCACATTTTTTTTATCGGGCGAAGATTTTTCTCAGAAACTATAAGAGATATTGACTTGAATCTTTGCGCATTTTGTTCCTTATTAAATTCTTTGGAGCTTCTCCCACTTTCAGCCAAAAATATTAACATTTAACATTGTTTGAAGCACCTTAAAGTTGCAAAAAAGCGGGCTAAAAATCGCATGTTTTTTCATATGGCCGCCATTTTGTTGATTTGCAAGATTTTTTGCTGCCAACGGGAGAAGCTCCAGAGAATCTTATGCAGATTATTATTTCATCACGAAATCTGTTTCAGATGAAGCCGTTCCAGAGAAAAGTCTTCGCCCGTCCAGGCGTTTGCGGCGAACAGGGGTCTGTTTGTCGCCATTTTGTGACGTCAATAATGTCTTTTTTTATGTCGAAAAAAAATTATTTGTAAACTTTAATGTTCAATAAACAACAATCCTAAAGAGTTAGGCGCATTACTATTCATTTTCCTTGAAAAAAAATTAATTGAAAAACAGGCCGAAAAAAGGCAAAAGATTGGGAATACCCCCTTAATCAGAGAGCGTAAGGGCGTTGTTGTGTCAACTTGGTCGTGATACATTACGAGTATGAGAGAGTGATTGTAGCTTGCTCAAAAGTGCCTGAGGATGGTCAGTTGGGGAATCCGACAGAAAATCATCACTTCTTGAAACTAATCCCGGTCGTATTTCTTTCTTTCTCTTTGCACTTTCCAAATGACATCATCACATACTAATCATCACATTTATTCAATGATGCACGGAGTGCACATTCCGAGTGCTCGGTGGAGCTAAAGAAGAGTAACATTGGACGGAAGTTTCCTCTTAGAAGATCATGGGAATACAATAAGGTAAGAAGAAACCAGAAGAGAACGAAGATCCGTGTACGGCGTTCGTTGCGAGCTGTGTGCTGAGGACGAAGCGTTTGGCGGAGGACAACAGACAAAAGCTAAAGGCTAAAGCTGCTGGAGCAAATCGTGGAATAGAGAAGTCCGGAACAGTTCGACCAGTTTTGCTGAGATCATTCAATTTTTATCTATAAATTAGGAATATGGGGAACATTGAAGGCATCTAGTGAGATCCTTCAATTAAACTATATTATATAAACCATTCACTACATCAAATATGATTGTTAAATTCACTCTTGCATAGCTCGGAGAGTTTGGTACGGTATGTCCCACGCAACCTTCCACCCCTGTAGATTCACGAAATGCATCACTGTTTAAATATATTTATGCAGTTGAAATGGGAGTTCTGGTACTTCCTAGTACTCAGCCAAACGAAACAGGAGCACGACTTGGCGTTGCAGACGGTGCTAACCGTCTTGAAGGGAAAGAACGTTTTGTTGAATCATCAGAAATGCAGGTGCAGTTCTTGGGACATCACCTTTCGGCTGAGGGAATCAGACCGGTTCAAGACAAACTAACGGTGCTGAGATCCTTCAGAACTCCAGAGAGCGTTGAAGAATTGAGGAGTTTTCTAGGACTTGCAAATTATGTCGGATGTTTTATTCCAGATTTGCGTACCGTGACAGCTCCAATGCGAAGCTTACTGCGTTCTAACACTAAAGGCCCAAACGCAATGTGGACGGAAGCGGAACGGAAACGGAAAGTTTGACAGTTGTCACAAATTACATCAAGAAGCCTAACCGATGTCGATTTGGTTCTAACTAGTTTTCAATCGGACAAGTAGGCTTACTCAGATCGGGCTTTTCCGCTGCCGCTGCCGTTCCGCTTCCGCTGCCATTGCGCTTGGGCCTTAAGGCTCTGTATCATTTGGTGGATTATTTTAACTTTTGGTTAAAATTTGACAGATGGAAAGTTATCGATTGACCCTGCTATCCGAGCTTGGTTACTTCTGACAGACAAGAAGTTAAATTTTGACAACTTTGGCTGAGTTCTTCTCGAAAACCGGTCGATCGACAGCACAGGGATTTACGAACATAGAAAATAACTTTCGAAATGTCACTTTTAACCACGAGTTGAGTTAAATTTAACTCGGCAAATGGTTCACAGCCTAAGTATGAGTGGAAGCACCAGCATCAAATATCGTTTGATGCTCTGAAAGAAATGATATGTGATATACGTACATTGAGCTATTTTAACAACTCGTTGCGGACAAGACTAATCGTACAGGGTTACTTCCACTCACTTGCTATAAAAAAATGTTTTTCCGAATTATGTTATCATGAAATATTATAATGCTAATTAGTACTTGTAAGTTACAAGAAGAGGTCATGAAGTATATGTTTGACACATAAAATCTGTCGATATTGCTTTCAGTGCGTCACAATCAGCGATTTTACGACTCGTGAGCGCTCACTCTGAGTGAACGCTCACGAATCATAAGATCGCTGATTGTGACGCGCTCAAAGCGAAATTTGCAGGTTTTATGAGCCAAACACATACTTTACACCCTCTTCCTGTTACTTACACGTGCAACACAGCATTATAACATCTAATGATTGCATCATTCCGAAAAATATTTTTTTATAGCAAGTGAGTGGAAGCAACCCTGATGTAGATGCTTATAACTGAAACCAGTTCGATTTTGTTTTGCAAACCTGGTTAAATTGTCATATTTAATTATCAAAAAAAAAAATTTGTCCAGCTCAAACCTTTGTAGGGGTAAGAGGTGGGACCATCATCATCACTCACCTGTTGCACTTGGAGCAGTACTCGTGCAATTTAGAAGTGTTGACGATGACTCCGTACCGTCCATCATCTCTTATGACAGCAAATGTTTGTCAGACTCAGAAAAGAGATACTGCCAAACAGAAAAGGAGGCGCTCGCCATAGTATGGGCAGTGGAACGGTATTCAGTATACCTACTAGGACGTCGTTTTGAGTTTG